ATATATATATATATATATCAAGTTATTATTTCTCTAAATGTATTACTTAAGGTTACCTGTAATATAAAAAAATACTACTTTCGGCATTAATTTTATAATCGGACTATGTAACTTAATTAGCATACTACATTATGAAAATTTATGTTACATAAAGTGTTTACTAAAAAATACTTTGGAGAAAAATTGATGGAATAAATAAAAATTTTAAAAATTAAAGGGTTCGAATTTATGAATTTCATAAAATAATCTTTAGAGCTCTTAATATAATTGTTATCCTAATTATTTCATTCCTTGCGATTCTTTCATTCTCAACAATTTTAAATGATACATTTTAGTAATGTATATCAAATTTTAGTAGAAAAAAAAACTGTGATTTATTAATATATATAAATAAATAAATCAGAATCAATTCTATTGAGAATCGATTTTAATTTGTCTTTTAATTATCCAGAATCGATTTCATATCAAGAGAATTAAATTCAGTCCTAAAATACACTTTATTTACTGAGTATATTCTTTTACATCCATTATGCACATATGATTTCAATTCTCTCATTTGCAAATTATCATCATTAAATCGTCTCAAATTTATTAAAACAAATGTGAAACTAACCGCAAATCCATCATCATACAGTAACAATAACAATACCATCCATTAAAACAAAGACAGTCTAAGTGCAGTTAGACTTCATATTTCTTTTCAAAATTTATTCAAAGACAGTCTAATTGTCAATACAGGGGATCACCTTCAATAACAATTTGATGCTTACAGTATCACAAATTAAAAGGAAAACTTACATCACTGTTTCAAATATTTCATTCAAGGGAAAAAAATTGTATGAATATGATTCAAAAGATATTTTAAGTATAAGTCAGTTTTATAAAACTGGACTTCTATTTATCATTTTCTAATACTACGTGTCTTGTATGTCATAGAATCTAAATATAAACGTTGACAAGATTTACAAAATCAAATCAGTCAACAAGAAATTAATTTTTAAATATAAATCTTATAAAACAAATTTCTATTTATCATTTTTGAATATTACGTGTCTTATTGTGTGTCACGAAACCTAAATATAAACATTGATAGGACTTTTAATTCTTTTTTCTTCATTTTTTTTATCACTGTCATTATTGATTCTTCACATTACTTATTTATTGTGTTGGTCAAATTATAGTGCTAGTAAGATCATATATGTTTTTTAATAAGTCTACCGTATTGTTAATGGTTAATATATAACTTTACATCACAATAAAAAACTATTCTTAATAATTTCATGAGACCCTGATTCATAAATCTCCGTAAATATTTAGTTTGATAAACCTTTTTAACAATTTTTTTTGTTTTGTGAGTTCTTTTGGTTTCAATCCACATGAACTAAGATTAATTCCTATAAAATAGATTAATTTTATAAGTCTACTACTCTTATTTATATGTCATATTTTGTTGATAAGTTGAAAAAAAAAAGATAAAATCATAAATAACATAGTTAACAACTAACATCTATGAATAAAAAACCGTATGTATATATCATTCTATAAGAAGTGTTCTGCACCACCCCAAGTACTTCTGCATCTTTCCACTATTTTTTTTTATTTCAAATAAATATATTGAACAGTGAAAATAAATATATTGAACAGTGAAAATAAGATTGAATCAAGCTTATTTAAGGGAAAGTGTAAGTAAAATTTTACAATATATCACAAGTTTAAATCTGAATCTTGTGAATGCTCCATTAATATGGAGAGAGAAAGAGAGAGATTATTGAATATAGTGGGGATGTGTAAGGTAATTTTGGAATAAAAGAAAATAGTGGGGAGGTGTAGAGTATTTTTGGAATAAAAGAAAATAGTGGAAAGATGCAGGAGCACTTGGGGTGATGGAGGGAGCAACACCCTAAAAAATATGGTAATTTTGTCCGAGGAATTGAAGAAGAGGTCTCGTTCTTCCTGGGCCAAACTTATGTGGTAAGAAAGAGATTGATGTTCCCTTTGCCACCCCCATCTTCTTCTTACACCTCCCTAATTTTTTTTAAAATTCTAAATTTACTCTTTTTATTTTTAAAACCCTAATCCCAATTCCAATCCCAATCCCTTATCACTTTCACTTTTCCTTTCACTCTCACCAGCAAGCCCCCACTCCCCCTCCCCTACTCACTTTCTCTCTTTTTCTTAATTTTCACTTCCGTTAACACAAAATTTGACAGAAAAAGTAAATTCTGCATGGTATAAATTTAAAATATTTATAACTTCTGATGAGTTTTGAAGTATCATGATTCTATAATATAATCTACTAAAAATTTCTTTCCCACTTCTTTGTCTTTAAATAACTAAACTTGAAAATTTATGCTTCAAATTGAAACTCTAAACCACCAAGAGATAACCCTTGTCATTGTAAACCAAACCGTTTAGGTCGTAGGAATTGAACTTTTTTTCAATGATCACTGAGTTTTCGATGAATCTCGCAGAATTTGAAAAGAAATGAAAAATGTGTTAACGGAAGTGAAAATTAAGAGAAAGAGAGAAAGTGACACTTGGAGGGGGTGGGTCCTTGTTGCTTAGAGTGAAAGAAAAAATGAAAGTGAAAAGAGATTGAAATTAGGATTTTAAAAAATAAAAAGTAAAAGTAAAAAATAAAAAAAGTAAATTTGGAATTTAAAACAAATTGGAGCGGTATAGAGAAGATGGAAGGAACTCGCTCTGAGAAAGATCCTGCGAATCCAGGCCCACTAAGCCCGCTACTCATATATGTTGACAAAAACACAATTAAAAGAAGGCCACAATTTTTTTTATTTTTTTTAAATTTAAAATATACACTTAAATTTATTTATACGTTGATGTCAACATCATATAATAGTTATATTTTGTACGGTACACTTAAAGGCCACATATTTCACAGTTGTACTGTAAATGCTATAAATGTTGTCGGGGATGACAAACAGCAATTTATGTGGATGACAAATTTAGTGAGAAGTAAGTCCTTAGTCCATTGACAAATATATATAAAGAGGTAGATGCTCTGGTTCATGCATTCGTTCATGGCTTTTTTAACCGTTCCTCCTAGATCTACCATCATATATCATATATGCTCATGGATGTTCACCATTACCACCCTTTCTCTGTTTACTTCATTGCTTCCATTCTCTTTGTTTTCTTCATCTTATACAAGTTAGTTCAAAGCTGGAGTTCAAACAACTCCTCTACAAATTTACCTCCAGGACCTACGACATTACCTCTCATAGGGAACTTGCATCAGTTGGTAGGTTCATTGCCACATCACTCCTTGAAACTTTTGGCAGATAGGTACGGACCGTTAATGCACCTGAAACTAGGAGAGGTATCCAACATCATAGTAACTTCACCGGAGATAGCCCAAGAGGTTCTGAAAACGCATGATGTTAATTTCTCTGATAGGCCAAACCTTGCATCGGCTAGAACAGTTACTTACAACAATACGAATATAGTCTTCTCTCCATATGGAGAATATTGGAGACAAGTACGAAAGATATGCACAATGGAGCTACTGACGATAAAGCGAGTGCAATCTTTTCAGTCCATAAGGGAAGAGGAGGTGGCAGAACTGGTTAAGAAAATAGCTGCAAGTGAAGGCTGTGCTGTTAATCTCACCCAGAACATTTACCCGATGACTTGCGGAGTAGTCGCACGAGCGGCTTGTGGTAAAAAAAACAGATATCAACAAGTGTTCATTTCAAAGATTAATGAGCAATTGAAGCTCATGGGAGGGTTTTCGCTAGCTGATCTCTATCCTTCTAGCAGAGTGCTTGAAATGGCGGAGAAGGTGAAGTTTGAGAAAGTTCACAAAGAGACTGACAGGGTTTTGCAAGACATCATCGACGAACACAGAAATGGAAGTAAGTATGAAGTAGTGGAAGATCTGGTCGATGTTCTTCTCAAGTGTCAACAGGAAAACGATTCTGAAAGTCTCTTAACTGATGACAACATTAAAGCGGTCATCAAGGTTAGTGTCTGTATGAAACTCCTAACTAGATGAGATGTCAAATAATTTATGATTTTAAATGAAAAATTGATGGAATTCTGATAGGAAAACTCGCTCTGTTATGGATCTTCTAACTTATATGTTACTCAAGTATCTCGTTATTTCTAACAAAAGTACATTTATTTTTATATAAACGATAACATTAATCCATATTTTTCAGGACATATTCGTGGCTGGAGGCACTTCATCTTCCGTAGTGGAATGGGGGATGTCAGAATTGATAAGAAACCCAAGGGTGATGGAAAAAGCACAAGCTGAGGTGAGAATAGTGTATGGTAAGAAGGGATATGTGGATGAGACAGAATTACAGAAATTGATATACTTGAAGTCCATAATCAAAGAAACATTGAGGTTGCACCCTCCTGTACCATTGTTGGTTCCGAGAGAAAGTAGAGAAAGGTGTGAAATCAATGGATATGAGATACCCTCTAAGACAAGGGTAATTATCAATGCTTGGGCAATTGGAAGAAATGCTGAGTATTGGACTGAAGCTGAGAGTTTCAAACCTGAAAGGTTTCTTAATAACTGTATCGATTTCAAAGGTGCAGACTTTGCATTTATCCCATTTGGTGGTGGAAGAAGGATCTGCCCAGGCATTACATTTGCCATCGCAAACATTGAGTTGCCACTTGCTCAGTTACTTTACCATTTTGATTGGAAGCTTCCGAACAATATGAAGAATGAAGAACTTGACATGACCGAGTCGGGAGGAATTACTCTCAGAAGAAAACATGACCTCTGCTTGATCCCCATCACTCATCAAACTTAAAATGTAAGAGTCATGGTTACATTCATTTGAAGTGGTGTTGATGATGAATTTTCCTTGAGTATCGGTGAATTGTTAGTGACAATTATGTGAAAGTTGCCGACAAGGTGAAGGTTAATGACGAAGAATGATTTTCACCGTCAATGAGTTTTTGCAAATCACCGGTGGCAAGAATGATTCGAGCAGATCGATTGACAGTATGTGTTTCAAAGTAAGTGACAAGACTTTTATGTATAAGTGGGTCTAATAAAACTGAACTTTTATTTATCATTTTTCAATGCTACGTGTCCTTTCATGTGTGCCACGAAACCTAAATATAAAGGGTGACAAGGTTGACAAAACTAAGTCGGAAATTAACTAAAGTATAAGTTAATCTTATAAAATCAAATTTCTATTTATCATTATGTTACCTGTCCTTCTGTGCGTGTCACGAAACCTAAATATAAATGTTGATAGCGTTTACAATTCATCTTTTTTCAATTTTTATCACTGTCGTTACTTATTATCCACATTTCTTATTTATTATGTTAGTCAGATTATGATTCTAATTATATATTTTTTTAATAAGTCAACCACAATATTAGTGATTAATATATGGTCTTACATATAAGAAACTATTGCTAATAAATTTATAGGTTGGATTGGTCCTAATCCATAGGTCTTCTTGGATATTTGGTGTGGTAAACTTTGTTTAATAAATTTTTTTGTTGTCTCGTGATTTTTTTTATCCCAACCCACATGAATGAATTGGGATCATATCCAAGATGAGTTAATTTTATAGATTTATCATTGACATTTAAGTGTTGATAAGTTGAAAACGAAGAATGAAATCGTAAATTAAAATTTTCCCACTAATATAAGAATGTTAACAACTAACATTTATAGATAAAATATTTAAAATTTCTCCACTAAATCCATGTATACTAGCATGATCTCCATGTTTGTGTAATTATTCATATATTTTAAAAAATCTCTAATTTATTTAACCCCGTGATAAATTCATAAACTTTATTTACAATAAAGACTTCATTTTTTCTTCTTACGGAATATTTTTATAAATTTATCCATCAAACAGGTGTTATGTGTAGTAGGCTTGTGTTCAAGTATAATATGTGCTTATGTTACTTTTTATACATTCCAATTCTATTATTATTATTATACATTTGGAAAAAAAAAAGAGAAGAAGAAGATTTCTTCAATTAAACACTTTGCCCTCCCTTAAATTCACAAGAGACAACTCTTTATTTAAATAATTAACATTTCCATGCCAAATTCATATTCACCAACAATACATTGGAAAAGACTTAACTTTACTTTACAGCAATAATGGAAATTCAAATTTAAAATATTTTTTATGATTAATAGTCCACAAGACCTCGTGCAAATTTTCGTAAATTTATCAATGCACAAATGCTATAATCTAGTGTATTTAATTATACTCCATGCTCGTTATTTATACATTTGCAAAAATCTCTATTTCTGTTCTTAACCATGCTAAATTATACTTATATATGAAGTTTTGTGAGATAATTATATAAAAGGGTACAGTGAATAGATAAAAGTGTCAGTGGAAAATATGTTTGTTTTTAATTAAAGAATGTTTTTTTTAAGTAAAAATGTATTAATAATAATGACACAGTTAAAAAGAAACAAATACCTGTTCGAAAGTTTAAAGAACAATTTAAAACTTTATATCGTTTTTGAAAAATATAAAAAGAAGACAAACCTTAAATCTCAGTAGACAAATATTATATTATACTGATTTGTGAGAAAAAGAGAAGGGAGGTGCGTTTTTTTTTTCTTTTAATCTCATTATCTATTAAATGACAGTAAAAAATATGGTAATTTTGTGCGAGAAATTGAGGAATTAAAATGTAAAATTTAAACAGAAAGAAGCACAAAAATCTAATTGTGGCGTGGTATAATTTGACCAATTATACCCAAATCGAATGCAACCCTAATTGGCACAGTATTATTTGATCCAAAATACAAGCTCTTCAAAACCCAACCAACATCGACACTACCCACCATCATCACCAAAGCTCTGCAACCATTCTGCAATGTAAGTCTCTAAGCTTCTGTCTTTCTTTCATTTCTCATCTTCTAGATCTATTATCTTTCTTTCATTAATGGTAGTCCTTCTTAAGTTTATCTGAATCTAGGGTCTCGAAGTTTCGCTGCAATTGATTTTGTTTTTATTTGGCACGCTTGATTGCCCCAGATCCCGTGGGGATTGAAAGTGATTTGGGAATTTCTTTCAATTTGATTCGAACGTTTATTTATTTCTTTTGATGCCGGGTTTTTCGACACGCTCTGCGAATTGAAAGATGGGGGGTTTGCTGATTTCAAGCGTTTTAGGTGTGATCCCTTCTGAGTTTGGGATGATATAAGGCTAGAGTTTTGTAAGGGATGCTTATTAGGTCTATGCCACAAACCGATGTGGTTTATTGCTAGTGATATTCGGTGTTTGTTTTCTTGTGCTTTTATTCACGTTGTGTTATGTTGTGCGTGGGATGAATTCCTTCGAAAATAATGCTTTGATGGCTTTTGTGATGGACTTGTGTTGTGTTTAGTGTAACCATAATCTCTTAGGACCCAGACAAATATGTGATAGAACCCTTTTTTTTTGTGAAAAAGAAAAGATAAGTTTTCTTTTCTCAGTTTGCTGTTCCTGGTTCCCTTCACTTGTTTGCGTAAGCATTGAGTTTTTTTTTACTTTATATGAATGGTTTTTCCAGTGCCGATTTAAATTATTATTTTTTTCTTTTTTACGCATTCTCTACTGTTTATTGCATTTCATTTATGTTTGAATTGTTTTATGAATCTTAGGGCCGACGAGGAACCTGTTGATCAGAAGAGATATCTTGAAGAGTCTTGCAAGCCAAAATGTGTAAAACCTTTACTGGAATACCAGGTGTGCTTTTCTTGAAGTGTAGAATTATACGTTAGATCATTTAAAGACGAGATTTATTCTTACTTTAAATTATCAATATGATATTCTTTTATTTTTAAAATTTTAAAATCAGCTATAGATTGAATTTTCAGTTATTGGTTAATTATGATGTTGCTCTTGGACTAGTAAAAGTTATGACATGGCCGACTAAAATATATAGCTTGAGAATTCGACAGTGATGATGAGTGTATATAAGTAGAAAACATTGAGATGGTACTAGATAGAGTGTACAAATGAAGAGAACAAAGAAATGCAATGTAGTGAAGAAATACTGGAGTTTTCTGGTTTTTTTGGCTTAAGGTATATGATCTCATTATCTGGTGTTTTATTGCTTATGAATGGGGATAGATAGATATGAAGCTGAATTATTATGTTGAGCTACACAATGATAGTCCAGCTATGTTTCCTTTATTCTGATATATTTTTCTATTTTATCATATTCGATGGTGAATGCAAACTTCTGCTGTGTTCTTTTTTTTTTGGGTGGGGGGTTGTTGGGATTCTTCTCCCAAGTAAAGGAAGTTTTTACAGAACTGCTGTTAGATGGATCAGTAGCGTGTGAGTAAGGGTTTGCTTGGGTAAACAAATTAATTAAGAGTTTATTGGATACGTGCTCATCTTTTAAGTTCTTATGTGTATCAAATTTGGGTCACTGTTTTCATCTAAGCTGCAAGCTGTTTAGATAAGCTATCGAGAGAGGTTATTGAAATCAGCTGAAAACAGATTATGGATATGTTTGACCCAAACAGTATTGTCATAAGCTCTTCCAAACATTATTGTTAAGTAGCTGTAATTGCGCTGCGGGCGGGATTCCTTGGATTGGTGATAGTGACTCTTTCTACCATTGCAACTGCCAAGGGTTTTATGGCATGCATTCTACATCCTCTTCATCCCCACCGAGTCTCTGCCCAAATGAACTTTTGAGATAACATTATGCCAATTTTAATGCATTTTATTTTTATTTGCATGAAACTTAATTATGTTATGCATATGAAATGTATGTGACCATGAGATAGCGGATTGGCTTTCCACGATATTTTGCAATCTGCAATAGACAACACTACTCCCAAACCAACACTTTCTCATTGCGTATGTTTATAAGTCTAAATAAGCTCTTCTAACTGAACCCTGGGTATTTTTCACATAATTTTTGGCAGTGTTTGCATAAGTACAAAAGGAATTTAATCCTAAGGAAGCCTAGAAGTTACAGTTTTTAAGGACTTGGGGCAGGTTGGTTATATCTTAGGGTCAATTTTTTAATGAGAAAAAAATTCCATGGGGGATTTCCTTGTGCATCCGCTCCCCTCTTTTTACTAAAGAACTAATGCTCATATCATTTATGGGGCACCTTAGATTTTGACTTATTAGACGAACAAATACCCTGAGCGAGTGTTAAATTGACAAACTTTTGTTCGGTCTTATTTTTAGCTGAGAAAAGTTATCGTTTAATTTGCTACAGGCGTGCATTAAAAGGATACATGGCGATGAATCCGGGCAGAAACACTGCACTGGACAATATTTTGATTATTGGTTTTGTGTTGACAAATGTGTAAGTACTATTTAGTCAGTAAATATGCAGAGTAATTTAGTTTTCTTGTGTATTCTGTGACAAGATCATAATCCTGTAATGCAGGTCGCGCCCAAGCTATTCACCAAACTGAAGTGATAAGGAAGGATTTGATATGGCTTATTGTCATTGCATTCTGTTCTACTTTCATTCCCTAATAACTTCGACTGAACTTTCGATGTTATAATAACCAAACTATATGCTCGGTATGGTTATTATTCTGTTTTTTGTGAAGTTTTGAGTCTATGCAACCTAGATTATGATTAATAAGAACATTATTCCGAAATTTGGAAGGATGTATTTTGGAATGGCTCGGTGCTTCATTTTTTCAATCATGCCGCAGAATATTATTACCTTAAAGATCGCTCTTCTATTGATGGTCTCATCTTTTTCAAAATGTTTTAGTTATTGTGGGATACATAATGTTGCAAGGCAAATTGTTTGACAATACTGCTGGAACTAACATGACGCTTTTCAATAATATACATAATATTTCCAGTTTATATTATTGAAATTTATTAAATTCATTAATTATTCATTTTTTAATGGTTAGATTTTAAGTATTTTTTACAATTATTGATTTCTCAATGATCGCTGAAGGAAAACTATATTAAGAAAAAGTAATACAACAATTAAATCAAGTCTTTTTTATCGAGTGATACATTTTAAACCAAGATCAAATACCTTTTCTCAATTAATTCTGGTTGTTTCAATGTAACAAGCATTAAGCTCACGAATGAATAATTAACA